TTTTTTTATATAAAAAATTATCTTTTGTTTCTATATTTTCGTTTTTATATTTTTTTTATAATGATTGAGATATTTGATCTATTTGGATAGCCAAGATATATTCGATCTTGTATAATTGGTGTGCTTCTAAAAATAATAATATAATTTTATTGATTTTGTCTCTTATCCATAATTATTTATATAACTAGTTTTCAACATATATTGTTTTAGTAATTCAAATGGGAGATTCACATGGAAATAATAAAGAAAAAGGAAAAGAGAAAGAAAACCATGAAGCTTGGACCAAGGAGGATTCCAATGAATTGTTACAATTGATAGTGGATGTTATAAAAAGATGATAGAATATTATGGAGAATTATTATTATTATTTATCTAGACATTATTATTTTTTAATTATTTTTATCTTTGACTCTTTTTAAATTTGAATGTATGAATTTTTTTTTAAATCTTATCAAATGTCAAAACTCCATAAAATCCCACAAAATCCATTAAAATCTTGATTTAAAAGTCTTATAGAATCCATTAAAATCCTGAGTTTAAATCTTGTAGAATCCTGCAAAATCTTAAAAGTCATGAAAATCCTGCAAAGTCTTTTAAAATCCGCAGGATTTTTTTTTACTAAAAAAGTCCTTTAAAATCCTAATCCAATACACCCCCATTAGACTCAAGTTTAAATGTGTTAATTGCTCAGTTTTATTTTTATATCTTTAATTTATTGTGAAATCTATTAATAAAAAAACTCACTCATTTTTCATAAAATTAAGTTGATGTAATTACTGGACTATTAATGATATAATCACACTCATTAGTTGAAAATATTATCTCTTGAATTACTAATAATACACCTAAATCATTTTATTCTAAGGATGTTTCTGAAAAATAAAATTTATGATATTATTAATTAAATTATTTTTATTGAAAGTTAAATATTTGTTTTGGATTTAGGATTTAGATATATAGGAACATATATAGTAATATCCTAAACATATTAAACTAACATTTAATATATATATATATATATATATATATATATATAATGTGAATTTTATAAATTTTTAACTTGATTCATTCATGTAATTAAAATTAAAATTAAGTTTGAGATTGTTCATTCATTAAAAACAAATGATGAATTTAATAAAAATATTTAATTAGCAAAGTTTGAATAATTTAGGCACTGAATTTAATATCACTGCCTCCGTCATCTTACATCTACACCACTCTGATTTAAATTCTTAGTTTCTTACTTATCAATCTTTCCCAAAAGCTTCAAAAAGAAACCAAGGAAAGCAGTGTTTTCGTAAGTGAGTAATCCTGATTCTCTAATTACCACGCAGATCTGATTTGTACTATTTAATTTCCCGGGATTCACTAAAGACACTCATGCCTTTTTTATATTCCTTATTATACAATTCACTCCATCAATTATCAAACCTTACACGAGGTCTTAGGCTTTCCATCAACTTCCTCATAAAGGCACCCCGCATGAAAAAAATTGACTAGTAAATCATGTCATACGAGTTACCACTTATTACCATCTTCACATATTTCACCTTTGCCATTTTATCAGTTCATCCAAATTCCAAAATAAAGAAACACACCACACCTGCAAAAGCACTAGATATTTGACACTGAAGAATCCTTGGAAAATTTTTCCAGCTTCCTAACCTGTCCCCAAAGTTACTGGCATCAAACTAAAGTAATAAATAAATAAATAAATAAAAAGGACACAGGAAGAAGTAGCAACCAGAAAGGAATAATAGACATAACATAACCCCAGTAACAAGTAAGCTTTAATAAAGCCTATCATCTTCTAGCCATGTGCCAAAAGTATATACAAAAGCAATAAAAACATGCACTCAACTCCATCCCCTTTTATCTTTCTTTAACTTTTCCAGCTTCTATTATTTTCTGATTCTGAGGTACCCTTACAGCTCTGCTGTCCTAGCACACAGATCATCATCATCATCATCGTCAAACTCATTTATAGTGAACATGTGGTCTCTCCCTAGATATATAAAGCTACCAGTTTCGTGTAACATTTAAAATAAAACCAACTTTATTCTTATTTAATGTCTACTAATATTGTTGATCAAGTAAGAATGTCACTTTCCTTATTTTACTTTATCCAATCCTAATAATGTAGGATACTCCGCCATATGTGCATTCCCATATTAATATAGTTGAGAACCTCTCGTGGGGAATTTGTCAAGGATTTCACTTCTGATCTTAGAAAACTGAAATGGGTTTCACTGGGGAGTTGGTAAGAAGTGTCTTCTCCAAAAATCGTTCTGATGGGTCGCATGAAAGCAAAGTGAGTCTCTCAAGTTCCATACCTTCTCCATATGCTGCACCTGTTATCTAGTATCAGCATAATATAATTCTGTTTGACAAAATTTAGTTCCAATAATCTTATATTTTGGTGCCAAATTCATTCCTTAAAAAAACGGACATGTAAAGCGAGAGTTACCAGATATATAAGAATGTCTCTAGTCAATGTAAGACTTAAGTATTTTGCAATAAATAGTATTCTCATTCATTGTTCTCATAGTCTCATGGTAGAGTCCATTGAGTAATGCATTAACAGCTTTGAATTATGCCATGCTAACAGGTGAGGCGCAATAGTGCTGAGAATAGAAGATGGTTATCTGTTAGGTCATACTTGTGTGGAGATGAATTCAATTCAGTCCTTGCAGAGAAAGATATAGATTCAGTTAAGAGCTTTGAGGTAACTGTTTCACAGTCCGTACAGGAGGACTTGAATGATAAAGGAGACACTGAGAGTGAAGAAACTGTGGAGAATGTAACACAGAAAAGGCCAAATTCAAACTCCAAACAATTGAATGAGGAAGAAGCAGCCATTCTTATTCAATCAGCATACAGAGGCTTCCTGGTTAGCTCCCTAAACTTTGATTACATCAATTTCTTATTCACATCAAAACATACATCTTCTAAGCAAAATTTGCATTAAAGTGAAGGGAAACTTTTAGCACATATTATAAGTTCAAGATGTGCATGGGATGAGTGAAAATTGTAACACTGAAGAAAGAATAGAGGAATTGGTGATCATTTATCTAACAATGTCAATTTTCACCCTTCCCCTTTGTTTCTCCCATTTCCATCCCTCAACCATTTTCAAAATTTTAATGAAAAATGTCAATGGTTACTGTTTAGAATAGCATGGTATGATCCATCATAGCATATAATGGTATTTTAATTAATACTCATATAATTCATAGTATGTTAAGTTTATTAATCATAGCATATAATATTTCTTACTAGCATCACCGGTATGCTGCATATTACAGTTGAGGCGTCAAAATGGAGAAATAACATCAAAATCTGGAAAAGATGAGTTCAATTTAGTAACAGAAAGTCCAGACAGAAAGTCCATGGGCACATCTATTGAAGTCCAAACCGCGAACTCCATAGAAGTTTTTTCGGTTGAAGGAGAACAAAAAGGCATTTGCCAACGCGTTCAGCGCAGGACCAGAACTCAAGTAATAAAGCAAAAGGTACAACAGAAGGCAATGATGCATTGTGAACTAGCACTCCATGGTTTTGGTAAAAAGGGAAAAATAAAAATTGAGATATGCTCAAGCGAGTAAAATCAGAAGAAAAGGACAAAGAAATTAGAGAGAATTACCATTTAAGACATCTTTCCCAACATATTTTAAACTTCAGATGCCAAACTAAAAGAGTGGTTAATTAATATGCTATCAAATTTTTTTTTTATTTTAAAGAAAAGAGAAACAAAAAAAAAAAAACCAGAAGAGTGATGAAAAAGGTGTAAAGAAGATCCAACATGTTAACTTGATAAATCATCCTTTAGGTTAATTTGTTAAACATTATAAATGTCTAGGGTCTACGCCAAGTGTCATATTAGCTCAACTGCTATCACCCCAAATTTCAAGACTTAAATAGTTGAATGCTATTTGACATTGAAATTTGATCTTCCACTAGGCCATTTTTTCCCCTATTTATTGCGTGCATTCTCTGACATAACCGAAAGTCAAATATATCAAGATACACCTTAATTGGTAATTCTCATTTCTCTCCAACGTAATTGGCTAATTGCTATTCCTTACAACCAGTTCTGGCACACATAAATGGTTTTTTTTCTTGTTTTTAATGTAAAGCCAGAAAGTTTTGTTAATTTTACACAGCAGACATTGATGGAGCATTTTTTAGAGTCTGAACTTTAACTGGGACCCATTAACTCAGCTATAATATACAACTAATCAAAATATTTTAAGCTACATAATAACATAGACATTTTCAGGAAGACTGGGATGACAGCACTGTAAGTAGCTATGTTTCGAAAATGAGGATGCAGAATAGAATGGAAGCATCAACCAGGAGGGAAAGAAGT